CAACAGTATTGGCAATGGCAATCTAGCAGGACCATGGCAGGAGGCTCCACCTGGATCGACAAGAACCTGTGAGATTGTTGATGCTTTTATAAGGTTACATTGTTCTGTTGTCTTATAGAATATGTAATAGTCATCTTATTCATTTTTGATCTTATTGAGGTCATCCAAAAGTAACAAAAAGTAACTCAATTATGTTACTTTAATATTGTGATACTTAGATTAGGTTACTGCCTACATTTGTTAACAGGTAATTAGTAATGGTATTGGATTACATTTTAAAGTAAGAAATGCTTCATCATAGGATAAAGGCGATCACACAGAACAACTTTGTATTGATTGGCAGTTTGCCCACTTGTGAAGAATATGGTGAAGGATGACTCATCTGACTACTGTTTCCACATCTCTGTGGACCAGAGTGGTTTCTGCACCAGTGAACTCTCAAATGTACATTCCTCTTTGTAATGTGGGGTTTATGCATTGCAACTGAAATATTCCTCTTACAAAATCGGAATCAAGTGGGCCTGCTCAGCATTTTACACCTGCCACAGAGCATGACTGGATGTTAATTAACTGCAAGCCGAGCTGCTGCTAACGTTAGCTCAGCTTGTTTCTCTGATAACTTAAGATCCAGACGTCCAATGACTACAATTCTTCATCCCGTTCAAATCTAGAGTTAAAAAGCACCAAGATCTAAACAGTGGATGGTAAAAATGTGGCTTCAGACTGGATAAACAGTCAATGTATGACAGCTTCTGACAGACAACCACAACGCTGACGCAGGCACAAAGGGGATATGACGCCATCGATAGGCGACCGGTGAAACGCAGCGTTACCTGAATAAAATGACAGATTTCTCTGAGTTTGAACATTGTTGGAAACATTTGGGATAATGGAAGTACATAACTCAACTAGATATATAGAACATAGAGCTAGAGTTTATAGACAGTTTTATGTGAAAATGATACATATTATATCTCTGAGTTATGAACAATAACCAGCATCACTGTATATGTTGCATGAGTCTTCATCAAGCTAGTATAGCTGCAGTAACCAGGTGTAAACTAGTTAACATCTATTTAATCCAATATCTATGGTGGAAGTGGTGGTTCCAGGTCATATGACCTCCTCATAAATGTATCCAATTGACTGACTGACTTGAATATGTATTTTTTTTTACCACAAAAGGAAACCAGCCATCAAAGTACTTCTCAGTGGCTTGACCGATGCACACTCAGGCAGATATATGGCACCTGAAACATGGTTTATGGTAACTTCATTCTCACTTCCAGTAAATGCTCTTATTTTTGCAGAGAGGTGAGTGGAGGTCTAGCTGAAACGCTTTCTACAAGCACATATCGCCAGCAAAGTTTACTGGATGAAAGGTAAATGGACTTGTACTTGTATAGCTTCTTCTGCTCAGATGGCGGCTAAAAACCTATTTTGAGGTCACAGTGACCAGTGAGTCAAAAGTGTCACCAATTCAGTCTCTGACCAACTGTGAAATATGGTCACAATCCTCCCTTCTGTTCCTGAGTTATGCTGAGGGCTGTGTATAGGCAAGAATCTGGTGTACCATACGTATCATGATACAAGATCAATATATTCAATATATTGTGATACTGTAAGCAAGGCAATATATTGGGATTTTGTTTTTAAATCAAATTTTAGGAAAATTACTACAAAGAGCACACCACCATATGCAACACCTATCCAACCTCACAGCCCTCAGTTTACAACACTGCTATCTAGTGGCTGGGGGTTCAAACACAAAAATCAATACAGTGTTTTTGAGAATCGATACAATATCACAAAATAAAATATCACAATATGAATTTTTAAATATTTTCTTACACCCCTAGTTAGGGTGTTGAATAATGGCTTAAAAGGTGTTTACAAGACATTATGATGTCACAGTTAAGGTGACTTTTGGTATCAATTCTTGGCTTATGGCCAATAATGCGTTTTGTGAGGTGACAGTGACCTTTTATCCTTGACCACCATAATCTAATCTATCTTCATTCTTGAGTCCAAGTGGACATTTGTAAAATTCCCTCAAGGTGTTCCTGGAGGAACCGAAAACATAATGGCTCCAGAAATGGCCATTGCCGGGGTGGAGGCATGAAAGGAGGAAAAAGGGCAAGTCAGTCCATGTAGGAACTATATGTGGAGTCATAGTTATGGCAAATAGGTGGTGGAAACAGAGAAAATAGCTTTAAAAAAAAGCACAGTATCACTCTAATAACCAGGAGTTGCACTGAGAAACACACACACACACACACACACACACACACACACACACACACACACACACACACACACACACACACACACACACACACACACACACACACACACACACACACACACACACACACACACACACACACAGCCTGTAAACAGCTAGCTGTATCACCTCATGCCCCTCTGAACTCATAGACTGGCTATCACTCACACAGAGACAATGGGCCTAAGCCAGTGATTCTGCTGGGAGCCAGTGGACTGAAGACAGAGAGATAGGGCTGTACAGGCTGCAATGACTAATACCTGAGCACAATGCTGAGTGAAGAGAGAGATCCACAAGCTGGTAGCTGACTGTGGCCATATAATATGCATTATGAGTCTCTTAGAAAAGGCAATAAAATACAAAAGGAAGTACTGCAGTTGAGATCTGTGAATATCACCTAAAGACCATTAAACTCAAAACCATGGAGGCTGCTGAGGGAATTGTTTTTTGTGCTGCTTGTTTGTGAACGCGGAGAGTGTGACGGAGGAGATGGGAGATGACACTTTGAATGCAAAGCCTTATTTTTATTCCCCCCCCCAAAATCAGGCTGGCTCTACTCATTATCAGAGTTGGTTAAAACGGTCTGCCACAATAGCTACCTGCAGCCTGCAGCAGACACAGATACTGATGTGCAATCACACAGCTAACACAACCTTTTCACACAGATGCACACGTGTGATCACATATCTACCAATGTGAAGGTGAGATATTCAAGGGAAAGGCATTGCATAATAATTCTGTGGAAATAGGAGGGAGTCTCATATTTGACATGTGGATTTCCCACGGTGCAAACTGTTAGCTAGTTGTCAGTCCACTTCCACCGTCTACCACACAGCAGGCTGCAGCCAGGGTTTCATTAACAACACTCGGACTCATTAGTTGTCTTACATTGTATGAATGAAAGTTTTTAATATTCAGTGAGTTTGGCAAATTTGTCACTGATCAACACCTTGATATAATAGGATGATCCTGAGTAAACTTTACTCGATCCGATCCCATAAGGAGGCTACGCTAATCTCACTCTAGCACTGCAAGTGGCTAACCCCTTTTGCTTTTTTTTTACTGTATGGTCATCAATCAATCAATCAATCAATCAATCAATCAATCAATGTCCAGGTGTTTCCATGACTGAAAAACTAGTCTCTAAATTTCCATGTTTTCCAGAACCCTGTCAATGTGACCAACCATACACACTACTGGAACTGAATTGTTTCTGGCTCTTCAGCAGAGAACAGGGTTACCGAAGAATAACAGACATTGAAACAGCCCATGTCGAAAGCTGACAGACTACCACAAAATAAAATAAAAAAGTCAAGCGGAAGAAGGCAGCAAGCTGAAATGAACCTGATGAAGATATTCTGGCAGGGACATTTTAAGATGCTAAACTCGCTGTCAGATAAGGCTGCTCAATTAATCGAAATTTGATCATGATTTTGGGGCCAAACGATCTTAAAACTAATAAAATCGGAGGGTAACGATTTTTTTTTCATTTTCTGTTGTGCAACGTTGTATAGAAAAAAGCTGAGCCCCTGAATTGGGACACAGCCACAGTCTGCGTATTTCGTGCATGCGTGTTTCCCTCCCTCACAGCATGCACTGCACATTATACGCTCGGTATACCTGCCGTTCCCGACCTGTCACGGGAGCGCCGTAACTATTTATACTTGCGCTGGTGCTAGTTGCAGTCTTCTCCTGTCACGTTGTTTTCGTTTGAACAGGTAACGCGGAGACTTACAAATGTTTATGGGGAAAGGAAAGTGTAACTGAGGACTGCCTTGCAAAGTGTTTTTGACAAATGTCCAATAAATGCAGCATGTTGCTGAAGTTTAAAAAAATAATCTTTTGAATAATCGTGATTTAAATTTTGACCCAAATAATCGTGTTTATGATTTTTTCCATAATCGAGCAGTGCTACTGTCAGACCATTACTACACATGCTAACAGGCACCACCTACAGGAAAGGAAAGCAGCAGCAGCAGTTTAGACCTGCAGATGTAGACACAATGACCTACGAGCAAAGAAAGTAAAAGATGCTGCAGTTTTCACATTTGTATCACAGCAGACGAAGAGCCTTTTTCCTTTTATGTTTACAGCTGCTGTTTTCTTTTCGTGCTTTAAATTGGTGTCAGAACTGTTTTCCAGGAAGTCCTAAGTACATTAACAATACGACATGTTAACTTTTAAGATTCTACCATCGATTAGTCCAACATAATAATTTGAATAGTAAAATAAAAATGGAAGATGATGTTGCACTAACCTCTGGTAGATAGTATTGGTCTAATAAAGATATAACACCCAAGTTTTTTGCTATATTTGACCATCAGACAATGGAGTCCACAGTAACAGTGGCTGTTATCAGATTGAGGCAACAGTCTTTTTTTTCAATTCACTATCATTTAAAGAGAGTTTTAGAGAGGTGTACATTCAACTTTAACATCATGTTGGAGGGTGTAGTTTGTGGTGTCTGTTGTTTAACTTAACTTATATACCTAATATACTGGTAACTGAGTGTATACAGTATGTGGTAATAGGACCCATTCTCAGCAGCTATTAAGTTTGTTTCCTGTAGATGGTGGACATCAGCAGGTCTACATGTATGTGTCTGCAGTTCACTGCAACTACATACTATACAACTCCTTGCATGCACAATCCCTTTGCAGCTTCAGCTAAGTACAGTTGCAGTACTGCAAAGAAATGAACTGTGAGTCAGAAATACCTTGACATCTCGGTGGATGACATTGTTGTCATGGCAATAGCGTAGCGCCTCGAGGATCTGCCTCATGTAGTGGCTAAGGAAAAGACAGTGTACAGTTATTGTTATAACACCATGAAGGGTTTCTTTACATGTAAGTAATGGTTGCAGAATATTAGCACAGTGTGTCTTAAAGGAACAGTTGACACCAAAATGAAAACACACATTTTCCCTCTTACCTGTAGTGCCATTTCTCCATCTAGACTGTTTTGGTTGACGTTCATAGTGCCAAAAAGTTACATTTGAAAAACTCTTTCCAGAAATCATGACCCTGTTACTTAAGATAATCCACAGATCTTGTTGTGAGCTATTCATGCAGGCTGTAAACATTGCTGACATCTTCCTCAGCTAAAAAAGACATTGCTGTTGAGTTTTTCAAATGTTTTTGGGGCACTTTGAGCACCACAAGCCGAGTGCCATCTGGTTCCATTATACTGAAGAGAAGGCAGACATCTCTATGAAACTCAGCTCACACCAAAACTGTTGTGAAGTATAAATAACATTACAGGCAAGAGGAAACCTATTGGTTGAACTGCCCCTTTAAGGAAAAATGCATTAAAGCTCACCTGGCCACTGCTTCGCTGTAGACAAAGCCAGCATCTGCCCTCTTCACAATCTCAAAACAGAGGTCTGCCCCATCCATACTAATAAGGACAGAGATTGAAGGAGGGGGAGAGAGAGAGAGAGAGAGAGAGAGAGAGAGAGAGAGAGAGAGAGAGAGAGAGAAAAAGAGGATCAGTTTGGCATAAAGGTCAGGGCAGGAATCTGGGTATAAAAGGTCACACTTATTAAAACCTCAACACTGTGCTTCTCTGTGATTGGCTGTGAAGGTATGATGGGAGATACGGGCCAGGGGAGGAGAGGCTGTAATCATGTCTCATCTCTGTAAGGTTGACTTGAAGCTGGTGATGCTGACATAACTCCAGTCGAAGCCTCCACTGGGTCGGGGATTGAGGGTTAAAGACAACTTAAGCATGTTAAGTGAATTTGTTGTTTTTGTGTGTCTTCTGTTTTCATTACAGAGCATGTGAATGCAGGTCCCACTGTCCATCAATATAATGCACTGTAACTCCGAGGTAACTATGGTTACCCAGCGATGTCCAGTAGTCTCCAGTGAGAACAACATACTTTTCATACAACTCGTGCATTCCTTTTGTGATGGTGCGTCTTGAGGGAGGCTCATACGTACCGTCATTCGTTGCGATTCTATCTTCCACAATACTAATCTGTCTGCAGTTTGAAGCTATTATATTATAATATAATATATTATACCTGTCTTCCACAATACTAATCTGTCTGCAGTTTGAAGCTATCCACTTCGCTGTGGCATTTGTTAGCTTGTCTTGCTTTTGTTTATCTATACTTCTACCACTGCATCCAACGTAGTCTGCCGAAGCCTCCCTCCACTCCCCTACTGTGACCCATGGTTTGTCTGGATCTGTATTCAGAGCCAGTGAGCAACAGACTTTCCAAATAATAATAATAGTAAAAAAAAAAACTGCGTTAATGCGAGATAAAAATAATTGCCGGCGTTAATTAATTAATGCGTTGACGCGATAATAACGCACTAACTTGCCAAGCCCCAATGGAATAACATTAATTTATCGTATTAACAACAACAAATGATTTTTGTGGCAAATAGTCAATTTTAATTGCTATTTTACCATTTAATAACTAACAACCCATTTTGTAGAGCCTGTTTTTAGAAAATGCCCCTATTAGACTTTTTTGTTCTATCAAGTTATATAATTCTGCTTAGTAAGACCTCTTAACCTTTAATTAAGTCGCCCAAATATGATTTTGAAAATTTCACTAAACAGAGTGCTTATGTCTGGAGGGACTTTTTTGATGCTAACTGGTAAACTGAAAAGGGCCTACCACTGAAAGAGACAGTGACAGCTACTGGATTTTTTTAGCATAACAGACTTAACTGAGTGGTAGACAGTATAGGCTTAATGGATCACAATGTTACATTACCCAATCAAATCAGCTAATTAAGGGTTCAAGCCCTGAAGGGGAAACCCTATTGTTTTTGTGTCTTTCTATTATCATCATCAGTATTATCATTATCATTATTATTTGTGTGCTACAAAAGCTGAAATTGCTGTGAGCTAGAGTGAGATACAAACATGAAACCTGGCCCAATCACTGGAAATAATGGGCATGTCCTTCCCAAGGAATATGACCACAAATAGCCAGATGGTGTAATTAAGGCCCAAAATTTAAATTTTAAGTCTGATTGACCATTGACCACCATGGTCTCCTCCTTAACCGTAGGTTCAGCACTGAAAGCTGACCAAGATATTGACCAGTAAAGTTCAAAGGGGGTGTGGCTGAGCACATTAACAGACCTGTTGATCATCACAAACCTTACAAGGTATCTGAAAAAATCCCTTTAAGTTTCATTCAACCATTCTACCACCAGGGGAAATTGTTACAAAATGATTGGAAAAACAAAATGTTAAACTATGTTTGCAAAATTATTTTGAAATTTCTATTATGAGATATTATAAGACATTTTTGAGGCTTTTAATGCCTTTATTTTGATAGGACAGGTGAAGATAGACAGGAAAAGGAGGAGAGAGAGGGGATGACATGCAGCAAAAAAAGGTTGGAATTGAACCTGGGCTGCTGCGGTAAGGCCTACATGGGGGAACGTGCTGTACCAGGTAAGCTACCATGCACCCCACTATTTTGAAATTTCTAATGGTCTGTGTTGGCTTGAACCCTGGAACGCCTGAGGCTATATTCTTTAATAAACGTATTATTAATGTATGTGTCAATGTTTTAAAACTTTAGCCAAACACAGAAGGAAGTGTTTCAGAGATTGAGAATATCTGTACACAGTGCTGCAGCTGCACAGTATTAACTGAGTCTTCAGGAGGAGAAGCTGTTGCTGGAATGGTGATGTTTAATGCTTCTGCATTTATAAAATCCCTCCTGAGTAATTTACAATAAAGATAAGGCTCTAACAATGACAGCTTCTCAGCCCAGTTGAAACCAGCTTCTAACCAGAGCTGACAGCACAGAAAAGTGTTGCACCTCGCAATCAATAAGCTGCTGGGGACCTACTTTCAAAGCACGGCCATTAGGGCCTCTTGCACACTGCCTCCATCCTATATAGCTGGTTGTTTACTGTCACACACACATGGTGGACTGAATCCAATCCTCAGATACACATGCACTTAATTATGACCCATTCATTTAGCCACAGCCGACTCTCATAATTGCTCTGCTCTTATTCTTCCCCCAATTACTGAAACATACTCTTTATTGTCACTAAGCCTCTGCACCAATTAAACAGGGCTGTAATGTAGGACTTGACTGCAGGACGTCCGTATTTTCTCTGCTCCTATCACCTCACGAAGCTCACATCTGAACCTGCTTGACTAGCCAGGAGGGAGACACATTAAGCTGTCCACGTTTATCTACCATGTTTACTCAGTTATCTGCTCTGCACCGCTCGAAGAACATCTTAAATCTACCTGTACTCCCATTTGTGCGCAAAACAGAAGCCTGTGAAAATTTAAAAATGGAGCTCACTTGCATTTCCTTGAAAGTTTTTTCCCCTGCGCCAAGCTGTGTGATAGAACTACGCATGAAAAGCCGAGCGCTTGCCTGTTCAGCGATAACGGAATTAAATGATAAAGGAATTAGTTCTGGAAGAGGAGGAAAGATGAAGATACGGAGCAGGCGGGGAGGAGCTCGGGGAAGGCGCGGCTTTGCGAAAAAGCTGGAGGTAGCAGCAAGTGTGAAATCTTAATCTCATCTCTCTCCTTTATATATATATATATATATATATATATATATATATATATATATATATAGTCCAGCACTCACCCTTCCTTTTCTCTTACCCCACCCCCACCCTCAGCTAACAAGCTTTCTCATATCAGTGCTGATTATATAAAACCACCGCAGGCTTTCTCTCTGTCCTGCTATTGCTGCAACCGCCCTCCTAACACTGCCATCCTTCCTTACTATCACCCTGCTCTACGTCCTTATTTCCCAGTGCCACCTCGTCTTCACACTCCCACTGTGACACATCTCCTCCAGGTACAATTTCTAACTTTCACCCTTGTGTGTGTTTCTGATGTAACTTGTATGTTTAGTGGAATCCTCACTGGGAGGAGACTTACAACTCGAACACCATGTAGAGCATCCCATCTGAGCTGTACGTCTCCAGCAGCTCCACAATGTGGGGGTGCTTCAGCATGTGGCAGATGCTGGCCTCCCTCTTCAGATCTGAAAGCAAGAGCATATATGACAGCAAGACAGGCATACAATTCAAAATGTATTCTACAGCTGAGGACAGAGTGGATCACTGAAACTGTGAAAGATGATGAATGATGTGCATCAAATGTTTTTTTACACACATCTTCTCTAATTTTTCTCTGAATGCACTGTGGTCCTTGTCACTGTTCCCTACTGTTGTCATGTGCTGTAAAGGAGGGCAATAACCACAACATTTGCTTCAGAACCGATACCATGCTATAAGAGGACTAGAATCACAGATATCAATACTGGCACTGTTAAAGCTGCAGTAGGTAACTTTTATAAAAATATAAATATATTCACTGAAACTTTCACTATATCCTGACAGTAGAACATGAGACAGATAATCTGTGACAAAAATCAGCTTTTCAGCAGCCAAAGGAAGCAGTTGATGTACTATTACATGGGGGAAAGCATTGTGTTATGATTTATTTGTTTTACATTTTAAGCACCACCCGTGGTTTAACAATACTCAAGCATTTGTTTTATGTTAATAACTCAATCACATGCGTGACACTGTTATTTATTGTGTGGATGCTGACAAGGTTGCCAGGCTTCAAGCTACAACACCACAGTGGTTCGGACCAATCAGTGTCCTATGAGGAACAACTGGCAGCCACAGGCGTGGTTTAATACTAAATGTGTGTGAGAAGTGAGCTGCTAAAGAGGTTAGCCTGGCATCAGTTCCATCAGAACTGGAGAGTATTTCTTAATTGAAAGAAGAGCAAAGAACGACACTGAAAGCTTTGACAAGGGCCACATTGTGATGGCTAGATGACTGGATCAGAGCATCTCCAAACCTGCAGCTCTTGTTTATTTGCCAAGTGCAACACATTCCAACTCCAGTGGTCAATGGACTGTACTTGTGTAGCGCCTTTCTAGTCTTCTGACCACTCAAAAAGCTTTACACAACATGCCACCTTCACCCATTCCCACACATTCATTCAGTGATGGCCATCACAAACAGAAACATTCATACATATTTACACACTGATGGCACAGCAACACTCATTGAAAGAGCACAGCATTAGGTTTATTATAATATCAGTCGCATAAAATTAATTAATTATGTCTTAAAAAGACAATAATATTGTTTATTGAAATTATTTCTGGGATAATATATTGTCCAACAAAAGCAGCTATTAAGGCAGCTGTACCAACAAGAACACAGCTAATTATTAGTATTTTAATACCCTTAGCCCTTCCCCTCCCCATAATGTCTTAAAACTGGCAAGCACCTTCTGTATTTTGCAGATGTTCTCTCTGACATCACAGACAATGTGCTACATGTTGAAAAAAACAACAACACTTAACCCACTCCCATGTTTTTTACACACTAATCTCAGTTAGTTGAACCCTGAAGCTGTCCCAGCCCCACACCTCGACATTTCAGACCATCCTGCCTCCCTTGGCGTTCTGTAGCTTAGCTCTTATTTACTTAGCCTACAGTAAATGGAAAATGCATAGCGAGGCATAAAGATCTCTCTCCTGACTCATCTGTATGACTGTCTGATACGCACATTGACAACAAGTCTCTGCTCTCCTTTGGTTCAAGTGATGTTTGTTTGCATCCATTCCATTATACTAGATCCCAGCTATAAGCATCTAGCACTTTAATTGGTTCCTAAAGAAGAAGAGGGTTAATGGAGGGGGTTACTGGAGCTGAAAATAACTGTTTAAAATCGCTAGGGAGAGATGACAAACAGACCAAAAAACACCAGGAGAACACACACAGCACCATAGAAAGTGCACATAATACAAGGGAACTGTACATTTAATTTAGCCTTTAAAGGATAAGAACAGAGGAAATCATTGGATGGAACAGAGTGCTGACATGATTGATGTGCAGAGGGGCAAGAAAAAAACCTCTTGGACAAATCAATACTCTGTCACTGTCTCTCTGATGCAAATTGAAAATGGTTCTGTCATGTAAAAGGTAGGTGGGTTCGTTTGCACTCGAGGATGTGGTGCATTTACTAAACTGCAGCATGCCAGTGGATTACACAGCCTTTATATCAAACATTTACCAACATAGTGGATATTGGGAAGTTCCAACAAAGTGCGGCACTGCAGGGAAACTGTGACAGTACAAACTGCATCACATACACATTTTTTCTTCAACCATTCTAGTCTTCCTTTTCACATTCATTCTTTTCCTTCATCATCACCATTTCCACCACTGAGGACCACCAGCTATTTCTCACACTTCTCACAGTTTAAATCCAAGTCTCCCTCTCTCTCTAGAAGATGACTGTATTTATTCTTAACAGCCAATTGAATTAATGGAAACCATTTTTGCAAATGTATCACAATTACAGGGATGCTCATGGCATTTCTCTGGAAATGTGTCCCAGTCTACGTCACTTGTAACGCGACACTGTAGTTGGATGTGTTTCTGCAGGGTTCATAGAGTTTATTTAAGACTTTTAAAGACAGTTTTCAAACCACATAGCAGTGGTTTTCAAACTGGGGTTTGGGGACGAACAGGGGTCCAGTTTTAATTTCCCATATGATATGAATTTTCCATTGACCGCCATACCAGCGCATAGCTAAAACAGCAGCTGTAACTCATTTGTTTCTTGTGCAACAGAACCTTTGAGAAATCCTTACATATTTAAGTCAGTTTATAGTGTTTGTACTATTTTAAAACATTTGGTTTTGAAAATGTTAAATCTTTTACGTTGCAGTTTGCACAATAAATATTGTTTACGTTCTGATTCCTTCATATATTGTATAATTTTGTGGGGCGAAGAAAACCCTATACAAAAGAAGCTTTCAGTATTTTTATATTCTATGTACTCCTGACACTAGAATAAGCCACTATAAACCTATATAAAAGGCCCGGTCATGCAAACTATGTAAATAAATAAATCATGAAACCGCCAGAATCCTAAAAAATATTGTGATATTTGGTCAAATCCCCCAGCACTAGTTGGAACAACAAGAGAAGCAACAGTGTTGATTGTAATGTATAGTGATCCCAGTTTGATCATTGATTGACTATGAAGACTTTATAATCTTCAAACCTATAATATATATATATATATATATATATATATATATATATATATATTTTTTATATATATCTATAGAATAGAAACAATATTCAGAGGGGATTCCTTCAGACAAAATCCTTTTAAATTGGGGGTTCTAAAGCAGCAGTGTGTAGGATTTAGTGGCACCTAGCTGTGAGATTGACTCAACCAAGCACAAAAAAGAAACTATGGTGGCTGTGAAAGTCAAGAGAAATGCAAAAGGCCGTATGTAGAGCCAGTGTTTGTCCATTCTGGGTTACTGCACAATAATTCTTACATACCTATGAATATTATATTCTGCCAATAGATCGTCCTCAATGTTACACAGGACCTTTAAGACATGCTTGAGTAAATTAAATGCTTTTTAATACCTGTGGATACCTTCAGAAAATTACATTGATATTGCGCAATCTAAAAAGGCACCACTACTTAATATGCCTACCTCATCAACACAGCAACAGATGGAGAACACTTCATGTTGCCTGAACACAAATCTGACAAGTTTTACATGCAAATAAGAGTCCAGACAGTCAATCTTAAAGAATAGATTTGATAAACAACAGGGATTTGGCTCCAGAATGAACATCTGAACATAGCACATCCCATATATCTCGCTGCTGTCCTCTTATTCAATCTCTCAATCCTTTGATCCATTCATTCAGATTTTCCCTAGCAGGTCCTCACTCTTCCTTCCACCAGCTGTTGTTCTGAGATCTTGAAGTTTGATTCGGCCAGAGAAATATACATCATATACATAACCTTTTGTGCTTGAGCACAACCTCAATCTCATTTGCAGAAAATGCATCACCAAGCACACTTAACTCCATTAACTTATCCGTCTCTACTACTGAAATAGCCCGGCTCTGCCAAAACACACATGCTCAATAGACTCTGTATGGAAGCTAAATATTCCACATTCCCAATGAGGTATTCCCCCGGCTGCTGGTGCTGGAGGTGATTTATGGACAGGAACACTAAATGGGAAAGAGATGGGACTGAGTAGATGCTTCTGCAATAGCAGTAATAAATGGGGTAGCAAGCAATCCTTATTTAACACACACACACACACACACACACACACACACACACACACACACACACACACACACACACACACACACACACACACACACACACACACACACACACACACACACACACACAATCAAGTGAACTATTATGAAAAGTTACTGTATTGTTCTCCTATGTATGCAGTGACATTTAATTAAGCTGAGTTTAAGGCGTGAGCCACTTGTGCTGCTGCGAACCTCTGCGCTAACATTAAGCTAATCCTCAGAGGACAAGCACAAGGCGCGGGCTAGCTCCAACTTGATGCTAATGCTGCTAAAGCCGGATAAGTGGCTACCTTAAGGGCATTACAGCCTGCAACATTTAATGTCATCTGGTGAGCCTGCTACTTACGTCCGTCACCATGACTGCTGCTAGAGATTACCAGAGATCCTTCATCAAATGAGAAGAGAATCACAACACCAGTTTTCCTGAGCTTAGAGAAACTGCTGCGGGGAAGCCACTTTCATTGCTTTTAAGTGAGTGTGTGTGTGTGTGTGTGTGTGTGTGTGTGTGTTGATCCCAAAGTGTAAGCAACAGAAAATTAATGACTAAACAAACAACAGAGAAAGGTAGAGGAGGAAGAGACAGATAAGACTGCAGAATGGGCTGTGCAACACTGTATATAACTAGAGGGGTCAGTGTGGAAATATCTGAATGAATAACAGGAAAAAAAAAACGAATTTTGTTACCAAACTGACATGAGCTGTAGCCACTGTCATACATGTCTATGCAATCATAAATTTCCAAAAAAAAAAAAGAGTGCACAGATTATTTTGGATCATATGCTCACTGTTTTGGGGTTATGTTTATGGCAACAACAATATACAGTAAATCAACAGCTGGGCAAGCAAGGACTATCAGTAT